ATCTTTAGGGAAGAACACTCATCTTCAGCTGAAGGCTCTCTCATCTCATGCTAATGTAGGTGAGGACCTATATTAGGCATCTTCTTTATTTTTATCTATGTTTTTTTAAGTGGGAATTTTATGGTAGTCACGTCTTTGCGACTTGGGTTGCTGGGTTCTCTCGAGTAAATAACTGTCCTGTGTATAGTGAACATTCCAGCTCTTTGTAATTTTGTGTTACTTAATATTGCTAAAATATGTTGTCATCTGTGTGGTCTTTGTTTTAATGGAATTTCAGATATTTTGTCAGCTAATCAGTACTTTAAAAAATATTTATTCTGGATTTTTCAGTGCTTTTCTCTGTGTCTGAAAGCTGTAACTATGAGCATTTTCCTCTGAGAGTCAGACCTTCCCTTAAGGAAAGCTAAGAGTCTCCTGGGGCTAATTCCAGGACCGGATTTTTGTCCTAGTAGTTACTGCTTCAGCTCTAAAAGTATTTAGAATGTTAAAGAATTGATTTTAGCCCATGAGTGTCTCTTTGATGCGTTGTTTGTCAGTAAATGCATTCAGTATAATATATAAATTATTCATGCTATTGCTTTAGAAGTTGTAGTTAACTTGTAACTTACACACAGGGAAGTGATATATGAAAAAGTTTAAAACTAAACCTCAAACTGAGGACCGTATACTTGCATTTACTTATATAATAGGTCAGATTGTGATTCCTCTGCACATATATTTAATTTGTTTCTTGCTATAAAATTGAAAGATTAGTCTAGATTTTACCCTACTTTTTTGATACCAGAAATATTAAAAATCTAAATATAGTTATTCTTTTGCTCCCTATCCTTCCTAGTCTGAATCTAGGATCTGAGGTGTCTGTTTTCCAACTGTAAGAAACCAAACAAAAGCCATGGAAAGCTAAGTGATAGTGTTGCTTTAAAGTTGAATAAATGCATCAGAATTGTCATAAATAGTTTACTTTTTTATGGTGGGGGTGGTGCATGACAATTTATATTCCTTAAAGATAATAGCTCTTCTAGAGATTAATACCAAAATAAAGCTAAAGAAAAAATGTCATTTTTAAAATTTTTTCTTTACTTGTCAGTGTTAATATTCTTGTACTTAAATTTAAAAATAATTTTATTCTTTTCCTCACAGGAAAACCAGTGGCTGTCACAAGTAATAGAGGCACAGGAAGGGCACCTTTGCGTCCTGGCGCTGACCCCCTGTTGGAGTGGCGGTATTACCAGAATAGAGTCCTGAAAGGCAGGGCAGGTACACATAATGAGCTCTCTTTCAAGTCACAGTGCCCCTGCTGAAGGCTTCTGGATATTGCTGTTGATGTAGTCATTATAAAAACAAAAGCAGAGAAATAACTAGATTTTTCATTCAAGGATTTTAAGGTTGTCCGTGACATCTTAAAGCAAAATCTGAATGTAACAATACAGATGACTGATTTATAGTTATGCTTTGTTGAAATGGATGATGATATATCTTCCTGGAACAGAGAGTGAAGAATGTTTTATAAGATGTGATTAGTTTGCTTTGTGTAAATGTAGATTGGGGTGAAAATCATGGACATATTTGTGGACTCGAAATGTAATTGCAAGTTGGTCACCTATCATAGTAAAGACGCTAAAGTTTGTCTTGCTAAAGATTTGTGTGAGGCATGGGAATAAGAAGCAGTAGGACTTAACGTTTATTGGAATGAAAAGGTAAATACCAGCAGTCATTCCTCATCTTTTTTGAACCTATTTCATATGAGAAACATTTTCTTACCTCTTTGGCTTTTAAATTTTGGCTATTAATAAATAATTATAAATTTATACTAATTATGATACTGTTAAGATTTTCATATATCTTTTTTTCCCTGAGTAAATTTCCCTGAGAAATATTTGCCCGTAAATTAAATTTTTTTGACACTGATCAGTTTCCTTATGGATGTCTGCAAAAACGAAAACAAAAAAGGTTTTTTAAATTAGTTTTTCAGAAAAATAGTAATCAGAAAGTAGTCAGAAATTAGATATGCAGAACAGAAGGCATGCAGTTAAATTTCAGCCCAACTAGGTCTCTAGTTTTCAGTTATAAAACCTTGGATTTATTTTAGCAGTGATCTCGGTGAAATTAAGGCCAAAGGAAAGCCAGTGGGCATGGCTGAGGGCGTTTTCTGGGATTGCAGTCTCTTTTGTTGTGGTCATCTGTTTATATGGTGTAAGTACAAGAGAAAATAATTATAGATACATCTTCATGCTTCATGTGTTTTCCAGATTTTCTAAAGCTTTTCTTGGTTTTTAAATCTTTGAAGAGATTTTTGAGATTCTAGCATTTTGTCATGAATAGGTCTTAAGGTAGCTGATACTGATCTTGTTTGGATATAGTTGTCTTGTGGTATTTGATGGTACAGGTAGTTTCTTAAGTATTGGTAGTATAGTTTTGTGGTAGGCTGGTTTTTATATTTTCTGTGTGATATTCAAAGATGAAATCTTAAGTTCCACACAAATAAGTAGTTTGAGGAAATATACAATTCTGGTCACATATTAGACACTCAATAAAAACTTAATAAATGAATGTTGAAAGAAGGAAAAAGTACCAATCATAGCATTCAGTAACATCTCTCAGTTACTCAGTGTTCAGAGTGTCTCCAGTGGGTAGAATCTGGTGTTTACTGCACGCTTCCTTATCTCAGCAGTCTGCGTCTGGGATTTCAGCCTTGACAAGCACACGTTTCATAGAAGTGGCAAAGAGCCACTGTTAGGTCTTCCTTCCATCACAGATGATCTGACCATGAACAGTTTATTAACAGAATACTCACTGTCCTTGGTTACCTAATTGTCTTCATCAGTTTAGCCACTGGATTTTCATAACATTCTAATGATCTTTTTATAATTTACATCTCTCCACTCTACTGTGGGTAGTAAATGAAAAGGACACTCGCCTATCATTGAAAACTGTCAAAATAGACTTTCCTGTCACTAGGAAAGATGAATGTGATATTTTGTATTTTATATTCTTTCTTTAACTTGATGTCATTCACTTTTATGTCTTAAATAAACCTTTCGACCCATTCGGAGTTTACCAAAATGTTTGGTTGTCCTCTATTATAAAGTTTGGTTGCCATTAAGCTTGTACTTAGAACTAGCATTGTCAGAGTGTCTTTGTTCCTCTTTCCTTTTTATCCCTTATCTCTCTTTCTCTGGGTCCTTATTAGATGTGACACCAGATTTAAAAACATTGAGAATCAACTCAGGACTCTGGCTTCCGCATACTAGCTTTGTTTTAAAAATTCAGTTCTAATGTGTTGGCTTGTTTGTCTAGCAAAGTATTAGAACAAGTTGCATCTTTAGCCCTTTGTAGAAGCTTTAGTTTCTTATTCATTGTATTCAGAAACTCTTTGTCCAACAGAGAGCACAAGCAAGGGCTCACTGTCCGGGGCTTCCTTTGGTAGCTGTCTCCTGAGCAGTGCTCAGGGTGACACTTCTCATTGATGACCTCATTATCTGGAAGCCATTTATACTCATGATTTTGTGGTTGGGCCTTTTGATCTCTCTCTGGATTCCAGGATGCAGATATTTCCTGGCCCTTCAACAACTTCAGTGTTCATTCTAAAGAACAACAGTTTTTAAAATCATATTAGCCATAGATTTATTCTCAGCGATTTCTTTTTCACAGACCTGGGTCCTGGCCTCTGATTTCTCCAACCGTTCCTCCACATTCTCCATGTGCCCGTCTAGTTTGTCAAGTTTTGATGAGCAGTTCTCTACCTTGCCCTCCAGTGAGGACAGTGTGTCCCTGCATTTCCCCGAATCTCCCTTGAAGCAACTCACTGCGCTGGCGGAGGGACCACGCACCCTGCTGCACGGTGGAAAAGGTCAGCCGCCCGGCCACCCACAAGGGACCCTAGGCGCCACCTCTCTGGCAGGCATTGGGAGCGCAGGGGCCTCAGACACTGCTCTCGCTTCAAGCATGGTTTTCTCTAATTGTCAAGACAAATATCTTAGATTGTTTAACTGTCCCTTCAAATAGAAGTCCCCTAACTCCCCAGCCTTTGATGCATAACTCATGGTTATACTTTGAAAGGCAGCTGGTTGTGGCTGTTTTAGGCTTCAACTCTTTTTTTTTTTTTTTTTCGGTTAAGTAGCAGCCTCTGGAACTGTGATACTCACAATCCTGAAATTCTTAAGATTTTCAGCTTAGAGTAATAGACTGTAAAAGCAGATATTTAGCTTTCTAAGACCCTTTGGAAACACTGGATAGTCTGCTCTGCATTCTGTCTTTAATTTGTCATGGTATATAGCATATGTTAGTCACTATATCAGAAATCATAGCTCAAATTATATACTCGGCTGTTTTAATTTTTAATGCAAGTGGGATTTGGATTTGGCCTCATTAAGATGCTAGTCCTCAGAGCTAGATTCGCATTTATGCTTTGTGTGTATGGGTGCTACAATCCGGAAATGCTTGTATAGGTTGCGTAGTTGGGTAAAAGATGGTCACTGCTGGAGTCAAACAGGAAAGGTTAGGAAAGGTTGTTTTAGCCTATGAAGCCTGACACTTTGCCATGTTTTTCTGGTGGTGCTTTAACTTGGCTGATTTTTCATGGAAATTATGTCTCTAATAGAAGAGAAATACTGAGTTTGTTATATATATTGTGGTAGTGGACTCAGAATAGGTTTGTCTAAAATTAGCTGATGTTGTATATCTCGGTTTTGTTTTACTAACTAATGGTATTTTTGTTCATAATAGAACTGTGGCTGAGATTGTGTTTTTAAAATATGATTTTAAAGCATATTGTTCTTGGAACTTAACAGCCGTACCCAGGGGACTTGGAAATGAAATTGTGTTTTACTCTTTTTCTCAACTGTTAGTGAAGCCGATGGTGGTAAAGCACATGGAGTGGCTGCCAGCCACTGCAGGCTCCCCAGACTGTGCTTTGGTATCAATGTAAAGCTGCAGATTCGATTTGGATGTGCAGAGATACCAGTGAGCTGCAGTGTTTAGGCTAGACTTGTATTCGGTAAAGCAGTTGATATTCTGATCACATGTGAATGTTGTTACTTGAACATGCACTGGTAAACCAAAAGTAGAACTTCCTGAAAGGGGAATGATGTTGTGAAGCTTTTACCTGATATGGTCGTGAAAGAAAAACCTTAAATTTAGGATGAAATTTTTACGGTATGTTATCTACTAAATTATCGTTTAATCAAATGACTTGTAGGAATTTGATGTTTGTCGAACATGTTGTTAATTAGCTTTAAGTTTTGCAGATAGTTCTTTTAGGAAACAGCAAAGAACCTTTAAAGAGATTTATATTTTCCATTAAGTCCCATTACAAAGAGCTGTATAATCCTTTTAAGGCTGTGGAAGGAGGTTCATCTTCCTGATCACTTTCCATCCTTGTCCATCTAAAGAGACTGGGTTATTTTATATTTATGTATCTTTTGATATATGTATTTTTTTTTAACTATTATTAAAACAATATTTTCAACTTATTCTGAGTTTTTATCTGACTGCTGGTGAAGAACTTCATGGAAGCAAACCATTTTAGAGTTACAGATTTTCTTTTACTAAGTAAGGTGATAAATATCAGTGGAAATAACTATTTGGAATTTATTAAACTTATATATAAATTTATTTTTTATTTGTAAATTGATTTGTTATAAGAAAGAAATGGAAAATATATTGAATGAAAGTCGAGGAGAACCAGTTTATAATATAGTCATTAAATTTTGTTATTTTTAAAGCAGATATACCAGAGTCATCAGAATGGGAGAATCAGGATTCTGCACAAACAAATGGAATTGATTCTGTTTTATCAAAGGCTGAAATTGCATCTTGTAGTTATGAAGCCAGGTATGTGGAAATTGTGTGACATAATATTTAAGAATAGTTAATTTACTTAGTTTATATAATCTTTTGAAGTGAATTCAGACATGCTAGTCAGGCCTATCATATTTTAATGTTATAGACATTTTATGGAATGAAAATGTTTCTAGTATTCCTTCCGTTCCTGTTTTTTCACCTCACCAGTGCTAGATAACTTTAAATAAATACCTTAGTTTCCCAGTGAACCAGTACCTACAGTAGAAACCAAAAGAAATTGGACACTCATTTTTAAACCATTGTCTTTTGAGGCATGGAATTAGAGGATATGATGTTTTGAAGGGGGAGGGCTTTCAGCTCTTCTAGTGGTCCTCTGACAGCTCAGAGAAATCCCTTGTGATTTAAACCTCCCAGTACTGTGTCTTTTTTAAATTATGTTAAAACTCGGTTGTCTCTTAAATTATAAATAAATAATTCCATACTGGCCTACCTAATAATCTCATTTAAAATTGCAGTGTTGTCAGCTCGTCACCAACTTTGTGTGTGATCTTTATCTTACAGTAACCTTAAAATCTCATTGCAGTTGGCTGTTTCAGTGCAAGAAGAAACAGACAATACCATATATGTGTTCCTCATACTTAAAAAAATCAGTCGTTTAAAAATAATCTATTATAATTATTGTTAAAGTAGAGGAAGTAATGAATTGATTAATTAAAAAGAGCAGTCTTTATTTTTTTCCTTTCTTGATAACTGATGAACACAGACATTTTTACCTCTGTAATACAGCAAGTGTTCACACATTTTTGGCATTGATAATAATGATAAAAACCATATCAGTTACATTTTTCAGTCTTTTTTTTGAGAGAGATTAGGGTAGTGTCTTTGGCTTATCATTGATACTTTTTTAAAATTGTGGTATAATTGACATTTTCAGATGTACAACAATGATTTTCTATATGTAACATTTTTCAGTCTTGCTTAAAAGTTGGGGTTATTCAAGCAAGTCTAATCTGAACAAAAAATATTTCAACTCAGCATTATCTAACAAGAATAGTTTGTTTAAAATCTTGCCAATCGTTTTATAAATAGAATATTTAAGAAGAAAGCATCATATACAAACATGCATAATTATAAAATATTTTAAATTACTTGCCACTCATGACATGTCAGACTTTTATTCCCAGACTAATTTTGCCTTTCTCGTTGACAGAATTGTTTTAATTTTTTTCATTGTTAGTTGATAATGTGTGTAGCTGAGGAGTTGAAATTTTAATAAAAAAATTATCAAGTGTGAGTACATTTGGATTATTATATGTTCATTAGCACGGGTGGTTTAGAGCTGATTTCATGTTGTGCTCAGTACCCTGGTCTTTCCTCGCTAAGTTCCTGAGTGGTGACCTGTGCTATTAATAGCTGGACAGTTGTGTTTGGGATCTGGAGGGTGTGATGAAGCCCAGATACTCACAGTTTAGATTTTGATGGTTGATGAAATGAAAGCTCCACCCTTTCTGTTCTGCCTCTGCAGGATCTCTCTTCTCACTCAGTGCCCCAGGCTGGGTGCCGGATGAGTCTGCCAAGGTAGCCTCCAGGCGGAAGCTTCACTTGCTCCTGGTGGTTCTGGATTCTAGTGGCCAAGGCTACATCTAGACTCTAGGCTTCTAATGATAAAACCATATCAGTTACATTTTTCAGTCTTTTTTTTGAGAGAGATTAGGGTAGTGTCTTTGGCTTATCATTGATACTTTTTTAAAATTGTGGTATAATTGACATTTTCAGATGTACAACAATGATTTTCTATATGTAACATTTTTCAGTCTTGCTTAAAAGTTGGGGTTATTCAAGCAAGTCTAATCTGAACAAAAAATATTTCAACTCAGCATTATCTAACAAGAATAGTTTGTTTAAAATCTTGCCAATCGTTTTATAAATAGAATATTTAAGAAGAAAGCATCATATACAAACATGCATAATTATAAAATATTTTAAATTACTTGCCACTCATGACATGTCAGACTTTTATTCCCAGACTAATTTTGCCTTTCTCGTTGACAGAATTGTTTTAATTTTTTTCATTGTTAGTTGATAATGTGTGTAGCTGAGGAGTTGAAATTTTAATAAAAAAATTATCAAGTGTGAGTACATTTGGATTATTATATGTTCATTAGCACGGGTGGTTTAGAGCTGATTTCATGTTGTGCTCAGTACCCTGGTCTTTCCTCGCTAAGTTCCTGAGTGGTGACCTGTGCTATTAATAGCTGGACAGTTGTGTTTGGGATCTGGAGGGTGTGATGAAGCCCAGATACTCACAGTTTAGATTTTGATGGTTGATGAAATGAAAGCTCCACCCTTTCTGTTCTGCCTCTGCAGGATCTCTCTTCTCACTCAGTGCCCCAGGCTGGGTGCCGGATGAGTCTGCCAAGGTAGCCTCCAGGCGGAAGCTTCACTTGCTCCTGGTGGTTCTGGATTCTAGTGGCCAAGGCTACATCTAGACTCTAGGCTTCTGTTGGAGTTTGAGTGGTGCATTTGTATTGTGTCACAGATGGTGATTTTCAAGCTGAATGTGTAATAATATATGAGGGCTAAATAATATGTAGGAAGCCATTTAAGTGCTACTTAAGTGGCAAATATTTAAAGAGATGCAGAAAGTGATAAAAATGAATTCGAGTATAAATTGGAAAAACACTACCACAAAACCCACAACCGTGGGGGTGTTTGTCTTTTAATTGTAATTTTCCATTTTCTAGAAGGCCATTGCTAATGAAGGTCTCCAGAAAACATTTCTTGGAGCTATCTGATAATCATATTTTCTTTAAGTGAAAAGACTTTTTTAAAATAAGTATATTGACAGTTGCATCAGAGATGTTTCTGGGGTTGAGGTGGTGCCTGGACTGTAGGTTTGGTTGTCCCAGTTTTATGTGTTGGTGAGTTTTCAGTAGACAGATGAATAATGGGGTTGGCAAAGGATGAAACGGGAACATGAGATGGTAGAAGCCATAGAAAGGTAGGCTGTGTGTATGTAGGTCAGAATATATATTACTGTTAGTTCTAGCCATACTTACTGTAAAGAACAAGCTTTGTATGTGAGAAGGTAGATATGTGGATGAATAGGCCATTTCTGCCACACACAGGAAGCACTCACTGGTGGCCTCTTCTGCCTAGGCTTTTAATAGGAGGAGGAGCACGATGTCACCTGAGTGAGGAGTCACTTCAGACTGCTGTGTGATGGTCTTTACTCATTTATTTTATATGAAACAAATCTCATTTCTCAACCATTGATTCAGAGTCTTTTGCTTCCCTTGGTTTGGGGAAGCTTCAGGTTCTCCTTGCTCATGGACTTTCCAAACAGCCTCTCTCTCCAGGATGTGGATGTGGATGTGGATGTGTACAAGTCAATGCGTAGATGTGCTCTACTCTTCTAAGTAACATGCCCTTGTTGATTTTCGTATGTGAAAACTTGGAAAATGAAATGACTGTAAATGTAAGAATATATTTATAGGAACTGTGTAACATATTTCTTTAAAAATGAATAATTTCTTTTATAAGTTTAGCTTTTCCATGCTGACCTATATATCTAGCATCATTGAAATGTTATATGCTATTAATGTACTTCTCTGTAGACTTGTAGACTATTACATATCATGCCTTGCCTTAACTAGACGTGACCGCTGACCATAACCCTTCCTGGGTGGGTGAGGGCAGGGTTGTCCTCACGAGCATCCTGAAATTTCATGTTCACCATCTTTTATATACCACCTCACAAAATGCCTGATACATAAAATTTTGTTGAATGAAAGTTTTTACCATGTGTTTTGTCAGTCATTACTTTTTTCACCGTCTTTTCTCCTTCCTGTTAGATATTTCTCATCTACTAGGGGCTTCGTGGTCAGATAACTCATTACTGTCTTTGTATATGTAAGGAATGCATGTCATTTTGCTTTTTCTCTGAGTAGCTTGGAAGATTCTCCTTCTTGGCTCTCGTTGAGGGTCTGAGATGGAGAGGGTTCACAGGCCTCTGAGTAATTAAAGACTTTGTAAATATGTTTGTTAAAATACGGCACACCTCCATACAAAGTAAGCACTTAGGTAAATATTTATTGAATGTATGTATAGAATAACTATTCGATGTATTTCCATAGGCGTGTGTAATCTGGTGAAAACATTGCTTATTTGCTTGTGTTTTTAGTTTAATATTTTTTCTTGATCCATTGCAGAATGATAAAATGGAATTTTACTAATTATGCATAATTCCACAATTACACCTTTGTGCTGCATGCTCTAAATAGCAAGGATAACGTGGGTCATAGAGACACACAAAAGATTTTTTTAAATTTACCATTTTTAGTTGGGTCCCTTGAAGTTCTGGAACCCTGGCTCTAGCCCACAGTCATGTTCACTGTACACAATGCTGTTGACCTCTCTGCTACTGTAGAGCCACTTCTGGAGCATGGAGTTGGTCTCTTGGGAACCGGGCAGTAGTAGGGTGGGCACATTTTATCTCTCACCATAGCACAGTTTTGTGTAGTTCTTTCATTGTATGCTTTGTCTTCGGGGGATGAACCCTGGCCAAACCGTGCCGTGCGACAGGGAAAGAAACTGGTTTTTGACTGCACATTCCTGTTCTCTGGTGGTTGTGATATCACCAGCATATGGCAGCTGGCATCTCTGCAAAGCGATCAGGGGTCTGAGTCTTCAGAGAAATCTTCCAGTACAAGAGCCAAAGCTGAGATTTTAGTAACATTTTGGCAGACCTCCACATGTCATTAACCCTAATCAGATAGTTGTGTAATTCCCTTTGAGGAGGAAACAAACCTGTAAGTTTTCTTAATGCTTATTTTTACCCCTAATGAGAATGCAATTAAATGAAAATTGTATATTAATGGCATGGGGAGAGAATATCAACATACTTGATATTTTTTTTGCATTTAAAGTTTTTTAGTTTAACCTCCATTGTGTTGTATCTTTTCTCTAGACAAGTTGGTATTAAAAATGGAATGTTTTTTGGGTACGCTAAACAACTTTGTCCTAATCTTCAAGCTGTTCCATATGATTTTCATGCATATAAGGAAGTCGCACGCACGATGTATGAGACGTTGGCAAGGTACAGTATATGACACTGTCACTGCGTTTCTGTGTCCTCCTGCTGTTTCTGTCTGGTAGTAAACTGATCCAGTTTATTTAGGGTTTGCAGAGTCACTTTTGCAAGACTTCTCTCTTTCAGGAACCGCCCCCTCAGTATCCAGTGTGACGGTCCCCTCTCCTATTTTTGAGCAGCTCCATTCATCAATAGCTCTGTCTTTTTGCTGCTAAAATTGGTCAGAAATGAAAGATTAATTTTTAAAACATTTATATTGTGGGTATATTTAACATCAATTCAAAACTCAAAAATTTTTTAAAGTGCCTGTC